GTTAGAGATGAGCTGATATTAATGCTTTTGAAACAAACATGTTTTATGTTTATGCTATTGAATGGAAGGTTTGAAACCCTAATAGCCACGTCCACTTTATTTCTATATTGTACAGAACATGTCAGTTTATGGTCTTCAACCTGAGTAATAAATTTAGTAAAAATCAGCATTAGCATTTTTTTTTACATATAAACCTTTTATTAGTGCCCACTAGAGTTTGATAATTCTGCAATTAGAAACAGACTCAGAAATGCCCACTGGATGCATACGAGTTTAATCATGTATCTTCCACCTTTAATTACATTACATCCTGCAGCAGCTTCACAGGTTCCAGGTTCACTTTCACATCATCCTCAAAGTTTGACTTTACAAACTCCAACAATCTGATTTGTTATTTTCTCTAAAGCTATTCGTTCAGCTGCTCTAACACAAAGTTAACATTAATAAGATAAAATCTTAAATGGTTTGCCTGGAAGAGTTTGTCGAAACGATGAAGAACACAACTCTTGTTGTGTTTTGTTTCTGTTCTTATATTTCTCTGTGTTCTACACAAATCATTTACTGAAAAAAACTGACTGAAAAGTTGTTCCAAATCACACACATCGTTGCTCTACTCTAAACTTGGTGCTTGGTGTTGAATGTAAGAACTTCTGCAGTGTAAATGATAAGCATAAGAACAAAAAAGTGTTCACCTGCACGGTTTTGTTGATTCGATGAGAAGGACCTGGATATTCAGGAGAGTACAAGTCTGTGAGGAAGAGTGAGTTCATCAGCGTGGACTTCCCCAGACCAGATTCTCCTACAAGACAAGAAGACAGACGGGTTATCAGGGAGGGAACAGAAGAATCATGTAAGTCCTCAGGAAGAACACTGGGACTCAAGCTCCAGATGTTGATCAGCTCCAGCTGTGATGCAGTCTGAAATTCTTCACGTTTCAGATTCAAACACTTCAAATGGTTTCTCTGATAACACTGAACTAAAGCAGGACAGACAGGGTGGAAGGTGTGCTTGTTTCCTGTCAGCATTTCAGGAATCCAATCAGAGGATCACAGGAACAAAAAGAGGGAAGGACCAATCACCAGGAAGTTTGATTATAGTTGGGGGGGGGTCGGCTAAATTAACTTTTTTGTCACGTTATGTCATTCCCTCATCAAAAACACCCAGAGTGTTGCTTTGACTCATTCATTCCTCTTTGAGAAATCCTTGGATCTCCTGTGGTCGTCATGTAGAGCTGCCTAAACACTTGCTGCTACAAAGCTCCGCCTATTTGTACAAAGCTCCTCCTTAAAGCTCAGTCAGCAGAAGAGATCCTGCCCCACAGAGCACTGCTACCATGAAGTATTGTTGTTAAGATGTGCTGAAGTGGGAGTGTCTGAAATGGTAGGAGGCTTTAAAGAGACTTTATTTTCTATTTTTTTATTTATTTATGTAATTTCCCTCTGGGATCAATAAACTGAATTAATTTTTTTTCTTAACAAAAAGAATAACTTGTAAAAGGAAGACATTTAAAAGGGGGCAGGATTAAATAAGTTCATACTTCTGCCTACCTCCTTTTTCAAACAAATAGCAAAAATTATATCTGAATTTGCGAATGTGAATATGTTTCGTTTGAAACTAAAATAAACTAAACCAAACCAAAAACCAAAAACCAAACCAAACCAAAAACCAAACCAAACTAAACCAAACCAAAAAACAAACCAAACTAAACCAAACCAAAAAACAAACCAAACTAAACCA